GGGGGCCCCCCCCCCCCCCAGCTCGGCAATCAGCTGTGGAGGGGCCTTCCCCCGACTCTGAACCACAAGACACCAGTTGCCAAGCTGGGAGGGCGCAGGAAGTAAATCAGAAGTGCTTCTGGTCCACTTCTGGGTCTGCTGTTGAGTGCGCTGGGGAGCCCCCCCCCCGTGCTCCTGTGGAACACTCCATTTGCCCCAGCATTGCAGCATTCATGACCACCTAGTACCTCAAGGTATGTAGAAAAAACATTTAAAACTGTCTATATCTGATTCTCTCCAAATCGATTTGGAGGGTTCCAATTCAGTTTGGAGAGATTAAAGGGTCTCCTGATTTGATTCGGAGATTCAGCCACTTAATTGGGCCAAATCTCCAGCGAATTGAATCAGAGACTGAAGCTTCGCACAACCTTAGTATGTGGAATATAGTAGCTTGCTCTTGGAGATTCCTCTTTCAGGTGAGACAAAAAAATGAGGCTAGTACCCCTCATAATGATGACCCCTGGCCATTTTTCATAATTGGAAGTGTTGCAATATATTTCTATTTGCATAGCTAGCTACATAACTTATAGTTTACACAGGGCTTGTCTACACTTGCATGTACAGCGGCTTCAATTTACTGTGCAGTAAGTGGGAATAGGCCGGCATCTACATGTGCAGACATTAAAGCATATTAACCAAAGATAAGGTTCTATGTTCTGGAATGACTGATCTGCACAGTGTAGGGTATTTTTTCTGGTCTTAGGAAACAGAGCACTGTTTTGGTCTGGAACAGAATTGCAGGAGCACAGAGAAACTTTTCTGTTAACACAGACATCAAAGGCTTGCAATAGAGTGGTGTTCAACAGCTACACAACTTAGTCACACTTATGTCAGAAGAATCAGCTGTGCCTTCCTGCTGCCAGTGAGGCAAAGCAGGTATAATAGAAGCCAAGATCTGGCTCACTGCAAAATTATTTTGTTCATCTCTCTCAGTCCATTTTCAAACTACACAACAGGATGGCTGATGCTTTGGCAACCTTCAGTCAAAATGTCACATCACTCTTTCAGTTTGTTGCAAATGTTAATAGTTAATGGTAAACTCAATTAGTACAAGCTTTGATGTAACAAACACTACTGTCCTATCTTCCAGTCCTTCCCCCATAGCATCTCGTCTGAGATTACTGTACACTATTGCTTGACTGAGTCGGCTTGAGAACTACAAACAGAAGTTAGTCACCTGTGAGCAACTGAACACAGTTAAAAGTTGAACTGTTAAAAGCCAGGGTTCTTCTCTGGTGCTGACTACTTGCTCAGGAAGCATATTCTCTATTAGTATTTCAATGTTTGGACCACATATATGAGAAGAAAAAATCTTTCCAAATGCCTGGCTAAGCTGGTTGCCCTTGTTACAAGGGCAAAGCTTTTCTGTGTAACTGTTTATACAAGAACATCATAGAAATACAGAATAAAAGTTAGAGGGCTAAGTTCATGAGTAGAAAAACCTAAAACCCATTAACTCATCAGGGGTTGTTATTCTAGCAGTGGGAAAAAACTGTACTGTTCTGGGATTGTGAATAGATTGTCTGGCCAGCCAAAATGCACAGAAATAAGCTTAAACAGCTTAAACCTTGTCTGTAATAATTGAATTACTCAGTCTAAAGGAACGATACATTACTCTAGAATAAGAGCACGGAGTAATAAACAGCACATCAGAAATGCTTGTGTATGTCATTGTTATTGAACAAGTGGTCAATACAGTGTGTTCTATGCAGATTCATTCATAACTACTGAATAGTGTTTATGTTTAGTATTCAAATTATGTTCTGGTTCTGCCTCAGATCTTGGCTTCCACAAAGGGCCCTGAATCATTATGTGCAGCAGACTATTTTTTGATGGAGGAAAAATCATTTATATCTAAAGAAAAGAGTGACTGCAAGAAACCACCATTCCAGAGAATTATTGGTCCTGAGGAAGTGCTAATACAGATTTTAAATAGTTGGTTCCCTGAAGAAGGATACGTTGGAAGAATTCTCTTCAAAACCCGAGAGGAAGTAAGTCTCTTCTGCAAAAATTGTCAGTTACACATGTAGCTAAAAATGATGACCTGAAGAGGGCCAAAAGGAACACGATATCTGTTCTGATAACTGGAAGTTAATCTCATTGTTATGTACAAAATTGAAAATCAATGCAACAGCTGAACAATTATGATTCATGAGCTTCCCATTTTATTCACCCACATAAAACCAGTTTGCTTTCACACAAACCTACTGGCCTTAAATGCAATATTGTATCTTTTTCATTATAACAATAGTACCTGATCAGCATTGGGTTCCTGTTGTACAAGGCAATCTACAATGTAATGTGATGGATATAAATGTAGAGAAAGAAAAGAGCACAAATGAATATCCTACTGACTAGAATAGAAGAATGGAATATACAGCATGGAGGCAGCAGGTGCTCTCATTTAATTTGGAAGTTAGCTTCAAACTAAGGACCTCAGCAATGAGGAGGCAGGTGGAATTGTCAGTGCTGACAGCAGAGGGAAAGGGTTAGGAAGAAGTATTTTACCAGTTTCAGTGCTGGTAAAATATTCATGAGACATCTTCCAATACATGCTAACACATGGACTTGGAGGTAAACAAAATTAAAGGACTGTAGTGAAATTTCCTTATTTTGAGAGGTAAGTTCTGCTAAGCATTCAGCAGAACTAATTTAATTTGAACATGTAAACTTACACTGTATGTCTAAATATCAATGTACCCAAGATGTCTGTATAGACCAATGAAAGATGGAGCAAGATGTCAAAACCTTCCAACCAGCCCAATTTCAATTTTGCTAGGTATAAATTAGCTTGTGGGAATTCTAATATTATAAATGCCTTTGTCTGTCTGTCTGTCCATAACACTTTATTCATGCTCTGACTGGCTGACAAACAGTGTTCTCACAGAAGGCAGCCTGCTGCCATGATGGAGGGGACACAGGTGATGGAGCGAGGAGGGGGGTGGGGGGGTGGCCAGCTACACTGGCCTCGTCCCCCTCCTTCCCCCCACTCCTTGGAGGTGGTGGCAACAGAGTGGACAGAAGGGGAGGGGTTGAGGCCAGCAGGGCTGGCTTCACCTCTCCCCGCCCTGCCCCCTGCAGGAAATGTGTGTGGGGGGGGAGCGGGCCCAAGCCCAACGTGGTGGGGAGGGCAGTGGGTCAGGGCCCAACACAGGGGTGGGAACAGGCCCAAGTAGTGGGGGGAACAGCAGCCCTGGCCCGATGCAGCTGCAGCAGCTGGGGAAGGGAACGAGCGGGCCTCCTCCCCCCACTTGGGCCCAGGCCCACTACTTCCTCACCCCCTTCCCCCACATTGGCCCCAAGCCTGCTCCTCCCATCCCTGAGTGGGCCTGCAGCAGCCTGGCTTCTTCCCACCCTCAGGCCTGATCCTGCCCCACATTAGGCCTGGGCCTGCTCCTCCCTTCCCCCAACCACTCTGGCGGGAAGCGGGTCCAGACCCCAAGCAGCAGGAGGGAAGGAGGAGGGGGGCCCAGGGCTCCATCCCCGCCCACTCCCCCCTGCCCCCCATCATTCTTGACAGGGAATCGCCCCCCCCACCATGCTCCCTGGAGGTGGCGACAACAGAGTGGACATAAAGGGGGGGGCAAGGCCAGCAGGGCTGGCTTCACCTCCCCCGCTCCCTGCAAGTAATGCGGTGGGGAGTGGACCCAGGCCCAAGATAGGGAGGAGGAGAGTGTGCCCTGGCCCAGTGCAGGGGGCAGTAGGCCCAGGCCCAATATGGGGTGGGGGGGAGTGGGCCCAAGCAAGGGGAACTGCAGGCCCAACCCAACGTGGTTGCAGCAGCAGCCAGGGGAGGGAAGGAGTGGGCCTCCTCTCCCCCTTGGGCCCAGGCCCACTTCTCCCCCACAGAGGGGAGGAGCGGGTGTGCCATGGCATTGGCACTGATGGTGGGGCCAGGGGAGGACTGGACCCGAGCCAGGGGAAAGGCCAGGCCACTGCGGCACTTGGGGGGGGCAGCTGTGAGGGGAGGAGTGAACCTCCTCCCCCTATTGGGCCTGGGCCCACTCTTCCCCCATCCCCGCCCCGAGCCCGCTCCTCCCACCACTGCCACCCCAACTTCTCCCCACCCTTGGGCCTGGACCCCAAGCAGCAGGACGAAGAGGGAGCTGGCTCAGATGGGGAGGGCCCAGGGCTCCGTCCCTGCCCGCTCCCCCCCATCATTCTTGATGGGCAGTTGGCTAGTAATTCCATATTTGTTCAGCTGCTCTCCATACAAAGCTCAAGATCTTTTTATCTCTAACAACATAAGCTAAAAGCCATCTAGGATCAGCTGAGGATTTTGTTCTAGAAAACACCAAAGCATAGCAGTCTCTGTTTTAGGCAATGGAAGTACATGAAGAACTGCCTGGAGAAAATTTCCAGTTGGGGCGCTGACTCATGTGAGCCTTAGGGATAAGGAAATGGCTCTGGCTCTTTCCCCAACCAGCTGTTCTCTCTTTAAGACTGCTTACCAGCTAACTTGCAGTCTCAGAACTAGAAAAAAAGCATCTGCAAAGGTACCAGGGAACAAAAAGGCTCACAGCACCTTCCTTTCTCCCTGGCAACTGTACAAATTAAACATTTAGCTGGAAGAACACATATAAAAAAAAAATACCCCAAGCCATCTATCTGGTCTTCTGCCCATTCCTGGTTCTGCACAGCACTACAGGTTTCAGAAATGCACATTGAGAGTGTTAACTTGGCCAATGTTTATACAGAACAATTGTGTTTACTGAAATGTAGCCATAGAAACAGCAAAATCTGAATTCCCAGGACGTGATAAGAACCTCCTCTAAATTCAACCATTGGTACTTTTCTGACCTCGCACATTTCTGATTTTTTCCTTCTCTTCACATTTTAATGCAGAATTTGAATGAGAGAAACTTCTTTCAAGAGGAAAAAGAAGAAGCAAATATCAGCTCTGAGGATGATAGTTTCTTTGTTCAAGTGCACGATGTTTCCCCAGAGCAACCTCGCACTGTCATCAAAACCCCCCGATTTAGCACAGCTCAAGATGTCATACAACAGGTATGAAATATGTCTTCCTGCTTCTTCCATTTCCAGTCAGGAAAGGTTCCCTGTCCATGTACATAAGTTTGGTTTCATACAAAAAGTAGGTTATTTCATAGATACTGGGCTAGATCTTCATTGAAGTTCCCTCATTTCTGGGAATCTGCCCAGTAAACACAGTGGGTTCCTTATGTTTTGCTTTTTTTTTTTAAACAGACTCTTTGCAAAGCCAAGTATTCCTACAGCATTCTGAACAATCCCAACCCAAATGACTATGTCCTCTTGGAAGAGGTGACAAAAGAGCCAACAAACAAAAAGTCTTCAACACCTAAACCATCTCAGAGGATTCTCTCTGATCAAGAGTGTGTGTTCCAGGCTCAGAGCAAGTGGAAGGGAGCAGGGAAATTTATCCTGAAGTTGAAAGAACAGGTTCAGGTAAATGATTAAAAACCCTTCTGTAAAATACAAAAGTGGCATGTGAGCAACATCTGAGAACGGCAAATAACATATGTCCTATCAAAAGGAACATGGTGAGAGGTCAGATCATGTTTTGTTTCATCCTGAAAGTATAAAGTTGATTCTGCTTCATTTCTGTACAAACGACATGGTTAAATTATGTAACTCATCAGAAACGACCCGCCCTTAACTGCAGAATTGGTCATTCCAAGCTACCGAGAAGACAGAACGGGCATGGAAGGCTGAATATTTCACCCATTGTAATATTATAAAAGCCTTAATCGGTCTGTCTGTCAGTAACACTGTGTTTACCCTGATGGGCTGTCTGAATCAACTGATCACAGTACTCCAAGAGCGTTCAGGACAGGAGGCAGCGGTGGCACTGTGCCGCCATAATGGCAGCGATGGAGCAGATGGCCTCACCCACCACCCTCCCCCTCGGCCTGAGGCAGAGCGACAGAGCAGACAGAAGGGCAAGGCCCTGCCCTCCCCCCCAACCCTGCTCCCTGGAGGTGGCAATGAGGAAGTGGGGAGGGGGGCAGAGGGGACGGCGATGCAAACTTCCCCCCCCCCCGGGGAGATGGCAGAGGAGTGTTGTAGTGGGTGGTGGTGCTCCATCCCCGCAGGGCCTCCAACCCCCACCCCCGCCCCGTCATTCATGGGAAGGCAAGGAGCATGTGGGGGGAATGGTGGCAGACTCAAAGGAGGGAGAGGGGAGCGGGCCTGGACCTGATGCAGCTGAGGGGAATGGGGCCAGATGTGGGGCTCTGTCCTCCCCACCGTGACAGCAGGGACTGAGGGGCCAGAGTGGGTGGGCAAGGCCAGCATCGCTAGCGCTCGCCCCCCCACTCCGGTGCATGGGGATAGAGGTGGATCCAGCCTTGCCACCGCATACAACAGCACCCCGCGCCACTGCCACCTCCGCCTCTGTGCTGGCAAGCGCAATGCTGGCCTCGTCCCCCCACTCTCGTGCATGGGGCCAGACATGGGGGGGGGAGAGAGGGGTATTGTGGGGCACTGGGTGGCGCCACTCTGTCCCTGCCCCCATCAGTCATGACAGACAACAACAGGAATGGACTGGGATGACAGCACGGGGTGGTGGCATTCCATCCCCGCCTGCCCGCCCACCCCCCTCATTCTTGATGGGCAATAGGCTAGTATGATATTACAGTACAATGAGCAAACTCCTGCTGTGGAATGTTTTCACAGGCAAGCGCCCACACAGGAAAAGCCTACATGTTTATCCATGTAATACTACTACTGCGAGTGAGCTACCTTTCCATCCTGATTCTGCTAGAGGCTAAGTGTCCTAACAGATGTTCATTTCAATGTTCTACTGAACTCCAGAATTCACGGCTACACAAGCACTTCTAGGAGACACTTCTTCATCTGGCAGGATTGCAAACAAAATAAGTCACTAAGGGCTCCTGTACATTTGCAGGGAGGCAGCTCCGACATGCTGTAATTACAGTATGTCAGAGCAGACTCGATTAATCAAGTCTGTAAGACCATAATAATTACCGTGCTCCAGCAGACTCCAGTGTCACATGTATCAGTGTCCCTGCACTGAAAAACGGTGATAAATTAAAGCTCATTCAACGAGCTTTAGTTTGAAGCACCCCGCTTACATTTTTCAGCACAGGGACGCTTATACATGTGACACTTGGGGTGTTTTTAATTAGCACAGCTTCCCTTTGCACCCCCGCCTCCCAGAGCTCAGGCGCAACCAACATGGGTTCACTGGGGGCAGATCCTGCCTGACTAACCTGGTTTCCTTTTATGACCAGGTCACCAAGTCCCTGGATGTGGGCACTGAGGTGGATGTTGTCACAGCCTTCAAGGCCTTTGACACTGTTTCTCACCCCATTGTCATAAAAAAACTAGGTGACTGTGGCATTGATGCCTACACAGTCAGATGGGTGACAAATTGGCTAGATGGCCACACTCAGAGAGTGGTGGTGGATGGGTCGTTTTTGACGTGGAGGGATGTGGGCGGTGGTGTCCTCCAGGGTTGTCCTGGGGCCTGTATTGTTCAACATCTTTATCAGCGATCTGAATGTCAGTGTGGAAGGCATGCTGCCCAAATTCACTGACAACACCAAGATGTGGGATGAGGTAGGCACGCTGGAGGTGGGGGTACAGAATCCAGCTAGATCTAGACAGGTTACAGAGGTGGGTGCATGAGAATAGCATGGAATTCAATGCGGACAAGTGCAGGGTACTGCATCTAGGGAGAAGGAACCAGCAACACACCTATAGTTAGAGAAGGTTCAGGCTGGATATCGGGAGGCATTACTTTATGGTTAGTGCTGCCAGGCTCTGGAATGGACTCCCAAGGGAGGTGGTACTCTCCCCTACCTTGGGAGTCTTCAAGAGGAGGCTGGACAGATATTTGGCTGGGGTGTTATGACCCCAGCACTTGTTCCTGCTCGGGGCAGGGAGTCGGACCTGATGATCTGTTTAGGTCCCTTCGAACCCTAAGCACTATGACACTATAAATGCCTAAAGACTGTAAACAGATGTTGTATTTCTCCCAGGAAAAAGACTTCTGTGCCAGGATCCTACAGACATTCACACCCACTGTCCCCCTTTGTGCACCTGTGCAGTGTGCCAGAGAAAAATGCTGCATCTGTAAGTTACTGCACCTCATTCACTTTAATTGCGGTTTGTTCCAGGGACAAGCCTGCCAGGCTGTGCCCTTTCCCTAGGCGCTTACTGGCAGAGGAGCAACAATGCAGCTTGGAAAGGCTCTACATGCAAAGGCTTGCGCCACTGCTGTTTTGATTCAGGTCAAAACCACCTCAAATGGGACATCTGTTTACAGCCTAAGTATCCAAGATGAAATATTTCTTCCAACATTCACTTCACTGAATAGAGATCACTTACTTGAAAACCTGCTGGTTACCTCAATGCTTATTATCTTTCAACTGGCTGCCTTGCCCCCCAGTAGGATTCTACAGACCCTCTGAGTCTTAAACTCTCACCACCATCTTTCGAGTTTTCCTAGTGTTGTAAAACATAAACTTCAGACAAGGACAGCTTCACAATTATAAATACAAGTTCCTGACATTTCATTTCCTGTTACTTGCTGGCTACTGAAAAAGGTAGCAGCGCTGATATATCTGGACCACTTAGAGAGACCTACACACTGGGAGCAGCCACAGCATAGAAACTACAGTTCCCTTTCCCCAGCAGACATTAATATTTCTTCTGCATTGTCCTACAAAAAATATATCAGGAGCAAAGCTTGAATACAGTATATCTGTTACTTCTAATGCGCAAGTCATTAATCTAAACATATCACACTTGCATGTTCTTTCTCGTGATTCTTGTACGTTTATTTTGAAAACTGCTGCTACTTGCTTTCACAAGAAATTCAAACTATATTTCCAGCTTGAACTACTAGCAAGATGACACATTTGAATTTTTTTTCCTTTTTTTTTTTTTTTACAGGCAGCACGGGAGGATAGAAGAAAAGGCATTTCATTTGCTAACGAATTTAAGAAGTTAACCAAGTCAAGTAGGCAGTATAGAGGTTTCATATCACCCCCTCTGCAGACTTCACCAGATGGTACCCAGAGCAAAGATGAAAAGTCTGCATGTAGTTTGACCTTTAGTGACATCATGGAATAACACCCACAATTAACTGCAATATGCTCTAGTCAGGTACAACATCTCTACTACTTGTTTGTTAATTGTACGCTTAATTTTCAAGGCATAATTTGTACCATATTTTTTTCAAAGGGGTACTTAGTAAACCATAGTGAAGTACAAGTAGTAATCAAAATAGTTCATTAAAATCTTATGGGTCATTGCATCATACTGGCATATAGCCATCCATGTTTCTATGTTCTGGTGGTGCTATCTAGTCAATATGATTTTAAAGTAAGATAAATTAAAAACTGCTAGGAAATCTGCTTTGACTCCTGTACCTGCATAGTCCTAAAATCTGTGAAGTAATTGGTCTAACAATAATCTGTTCTTAAAAAAAAGGCCAAAACAGGACCACTTAGCATGCTGCCTGGCTTTACAATGCACTGTCCCAGCAAATTCCAGGGTTCCCATACTGCTCTAAAAGGCATTTCCCGGCAAGCGTTTAAACATCCTCTTTTGCATTATGGGACAGATTAAGCAGAAGCATCAAGATGAACTTTTCTGTTTCCTTGCCACAGTTATTTCCGAGTACATTCTTCCCTTTTTAATTTCTTTTCCTTTGTTTGTGACAGTCTAATGCTGAATTGTAGCTAAAGCTGTCCTTTTTATGCACGTAATGTTATAAGAGGTAACATTACATTAAAAAATTACCGTTGTTTCAATTGAGAATAACTTCTCATTTTGATTACTTGTCCATTGGCTTACAGTGACCAGATATTTTCATGGGACTGTCCACAATAATCCCAAGGGATTTCCTAAATTTGTAACTGATTATAAATGGACAAGAAACCTATTTTTAGTAATCCCATTGCAAGTGAATCAAAGTTCCCATATTTCCTTTCCAGTCATGTCCAGCTATCCAGATCCTGCTTATAACTATGTCATGCTATCAAACTTCAAGCAACAACATTTCATTTACAAAATTCCTTGCAAGATTATCTCACTGTACACAGCATGTGTTTATGTACGTTTATTTAAATTAAAATGCCACGTGGTCTCGCCCTCTTTCTAGGTGATTATAAAGCCTTAGAATGGCAAAACCAAAAAGTCAGATGGAAGCCATGAGAAGCAGAGTAAGTGATGAAGAGCGATCCCAGTCATATTCCCTCTTCTTCCACAAGCCTTTTCCCTTGTTTGATAACTGGAACCTACATCACTGATTACTGAATTAACACCCCTTTCTGCAGTCGACGTGAAGGAAACTCCTGAGGCCTAGACTACTCAGCAACAGCCTTACCTGCACTAAGTCATTAGTCCAGACTATGCTTCCAGAGGCAGATCTGGGAATGCAGAGTGGCATGACATTGTTTCTAGTGTTTGGAAGGAAGACTCCAGCATTTGGAAGAGATTTCTTTCTGCCCCACTGTCTGCAAAGTCTGGAGAGGAGGATTAAGTAGGCTTTTGGATTGTTTGTATGTAAAGCACATGGCTTTGAACAAAAGATATTTTAGTAAATTGCCTCAAGGGAAACTAAAGGCAGAAAATTAGAACTAGACTGTTCTGTTTTGTGTATTATAGTAAAATAATGCACTTTTAACTAAAGGCTCCTGTTAAACACTGTACTAGGTGACTGTAAAAAGATTTTAATATGCTGTAACTTTCGTGGTATCACAGATTTAATTTTGATGAATATATACAAAATACTTCATAGTTATTTATGGATTATTTACTTTCACAAAAAATAATAATGTATAGCAGCTATATACACCTAACTGGTAGTGATACTTTGACAAGGAACAATATTTTCTTTATTCAACTTTTAGTTTTCCAGGCCTGTGTTTAAAATAAAAATGAATATTTATTTTCATGTTGCAAGGTATGTGCCACTATGTAATATATTTATCTTACCTTACTTATTAAAATTGAAGAATTCTTAGAGAAAAATTATTCACTTTTCTAATGTTTCTTTTCAAGCAAAAAAAGTAAATTTATACTTTTAGTGGCTAAAACTGACCCAAATTTAATGGCATCAGGAAAAATAAAATTGCTTAAAATTTCGCTTCTGAGTTCACACTAAAATTGTTTCTTAATAACATAATGGAATGGATGGAAAAATAATTTAAAATTGTTCATCTGTAACATTAGTACCACAGTTCTCTAAGGTATTTTTTTAATTGAAGAAAAATTCTTCTTAAACCCAGAAAGTATAAAGAACACCTGGACTATTGGATTTATTTTTCAATATAAACCTTGCTGCTTTTGTTTACATAGAAACACTGTTGTAAAGTTTTGTACATTTGCTGAAATACTATTCTTTCAATATTTTAAGTAAGTTGTTAGCTATGGGTGTCTCTTTTCCTTTTGTGCAAGTAATTAGCATGCTAAGTGTTATTAACAGTAATTCATACCAACTTGTACACAGCTAAAACATCCATCCTAACAGTCTAACTGTGGTGACTAACTTGCTCTGCACACGCAAGTCCCTGAATGGCATCTAGGGAGATAAGTCATGCAGTCTGATCAACTGAAATGTGGAGCATTCACTGCGTCAGAGGTCTTCTGTCCCTCAACATGCCCTTCAGCCCTAGCATAAAAAGCTGCTGTTTCTAAGGAGATCACATGTAGTACAGTTAAAGAGATGTTCACTTATCATATGGAGAAGAGCAAAAGGTCCTGACTGCAATCTTGTAACAATCCAGACAAGATAAAGAGAGGTACTGAATCCAAGAAATTTAAAGTCAAACAGAAGAAAGCAAAGTCATCAGTACATTTCTAAACATAAAGGAGAAGCTGCATGCTGCCACCAGAAACCAATGTGGGAGTGACCCTCCCCTTGTATGTGTGCAGAAAGTGCCCTCTTGAGGCCATTTCCAACTTCTTTAAAAAGTTGGATAAATAAAAAAAAGCAAACCTGCTCATTGCTGGCCTGGCAGCCCATTCAGCAACTGGCTCCAACACCAAGCATCAGAACTGAAAGACACTATTTGGCAAACAGCTTATTGGTAGATTTAAATCTCTCATTAGCCCACCTGAAAGACGCAGTAATCTACTAGCTAAGCCTCTTCCAGTATCTGATTCCATTTTGAAATTTAAGGAATGAGCAATATTTTCAAATAAACCACTTTAGTTTGCCACTTCTCTAAAATCACTGAAGAAGATTAAGGGTAAACTTTTCCAAATGTCTCAGGAATAATGTAGGAACCTATGTCAGTGACTTTACATGAGATTTAAGTACCTAACCTACTCAGGTTTTTATTTTAAAAAAAAGTGTCTGCATCGTTACGTGCCAAAATACCCTTAAAATCTGGCCTCTGGGTGCTTATGTCTATTTTTAAAATGGAACTTAGGCTCCTAAATTATTTAAGCGTGCTTGAAAATTTTAAGTGACATCTTCAGAATCTGAAGCATCTTATTTATTCACTGGCAAAATGAATAAAAACAAACAGCTTTCCTTCCCTACCCTCTTCTTCTAATGCTTGTAAATTGGATTCTAAAGTGATCAGCCCCACTGCTTGTGTGATGTATGGGACATCAGTCTCCACAGGATTTGTACAATGCAGGACTGAGAGCAAGTAAAATGCTAATGTGACAAATCATGCATAGTTCTATATGTACCTTGCCTTTTCTTGGGGTCACATTTGCATTGATACACTGCACAGTTTTAAGTACTGTAACTTTCATATGACCTTTGGATAGAACTCAGAAGAAGGTCAGATTTTTTATTTTATTTTAGAGTTTCTAAGTCTTTTTTCCACTTCTATCACAGTGGCAGTTTCACACTGTTTATAACTTTTTTCCTTTATTGTTTGAAAAATGCCTTTTCAAGCATGACACTTTTTTCCTGTAAAGATTTTACACTTTTCCATTTGGTTAATGGATTTTTAACCCTATTTCTAATGGCAATGAAAACTGGTTTTCAAAGATGACTAGTTCCTTCCTTCAGGATCTGGGAAATATTATCATTAGTGTCAGCACAGGGCTAGGAGAAGCATCTGTTAATTTACTAGAGATCTGGCAGACAGAGCACTCCCATGGGCAGGCACGTTTCAAACATTTTCAGTTCCCATTGATGCTAGAGTTAGAAAAGGAGGGTGACCCTCTCCAGGTTTTAACAAGCAGGTAAAATATTAGCCTATCATCTGGTAACCATTAAAAAAGTGATAGGTTCGCACTATTCCCAATTAGCACACACTAGCTAAGTGCAGAGTGTGATCTATTAATAAAGACACTTTCCTTTGATAGTTCAGTTAGCCATGCACTATTGTCATGTACCACCCAAGGAATAACAGCTACTTATGCTGCTGCACAATCATGCCAACAAGGAGAACATCCTAATATTTTGCCTATACATTTAAAACAAATATGCATTTATTTAGAGGATGGGCATGCATATTTTTTGTGAGGCTATTGATGTAATTTCCAGTTTTTCCCACTCATTAAGATACATAAATGTTGCTGTTTAGTTTGGTTTTAAAAAGTCAACAGCCAGCACCAGCTGCATTTTTTGGTCAGTGTTTTCTTTATTTTTGGACAGAAGAAATCAGAGGGAAGCATTCAGTCCCTTTAAAAGACTGTATAGCGATAGTGTTTAAGTGTTAAAGAGGCTTTTTTAATGTTTTAATTAATATAAAAGTAGAGTTGACACTGGGCTGTGGGATAAATAGTAAAACTGATCTTGCTTACCCAGAGAATTTCTTTCCTCAAGATTCGTGTCATGGCATATAAACATTTCTGGTTCTGTCTCCTTCTGCACTTCAGGCTGGGTGCCTGGTCATGGAATCTGTGGGTTTAAATTAAACACATACATTCTTACTCTTTCTTACAAATTACAGGAACTCATTTTTTATAGCAGTTGCAAAAAAAAATGTAAACCCGGCACAACCTCATTATAATAGACCCTTTAAACAGCAGGAACCTAATTTTTCATTGTGATGATGCAGCAGATTGACTAATGCTTTTATAACTGAACAGCCTCTTTTAAAGAACTTACCTCCCAGTCTCATGGGATTTATTTATAACAAGGTTAAACTGTATATACCTCCCAGAAACATGCAGCTGACAAACAGCAGCAGGATTTACCATACACAGTCCAAATTTGAAAAACCACACACTCCCTGCTACTTTGTAAAAGAAAGCATTTTATTTTTCATTAAACTAGTTTAAAACATTTTATTTTCCTACCAATGCTTGTATATATTTGTTTTATTTATACTGAGTGGTAACATCAATGCATATCCAGGACTGAGCATTGGTATCTCGAAGTCCTGGCTCTAGAGCTACACAATTGTTTTCAGAATTGGATTAGAATATGGGCAGGCGCTCAAGGGAGTTCTTTTTTTGATGATGACCATTCAAAAATGTGTCAGATTTTTAAATACTGAAACCTAGATCACTTTTGTTTGTAGTTTTATTACCACTAACATTATTTGGGAGTATCTTACTAACCATCTCATGACAGTGACCTGCTTCTAGAGACCACTTTCAAGTTAGGAAAAATAGAATATTTTAAGATGGAAGTTTTTAAACGTTTTAAGTTTACATTCTCTTTAAACTCACAATTAAGCTTTTTAAAAGAGAATTATCAGTAACTTTTAATTTCTGTATGAAGCAGTGTCTAGTGTGAACTACTTTAGCTCTAGCTCTCACAATGCAGCTGAGCTTCAACAGACGTTTATTGTTTTTCACTTTGTTGTTTTTAGTCCTGTAAAATTTAAATTCCTTTCAAGGTAGCCCATTAGATGTAATGATGGTGAAGTGTCATCTGTCCATGATAAATATTTTGCAAGTGTTACAGTGCTTCATATTTAGTGAACAAATAAAATGCAAAAATAAATTAATAAATGCAATAGCAGTAAATATTTCTCTATCCAATATATATATATAGGATATTTCAAACTGATTTACTATTTGTGCAGTTGTTTTCATTCTACTATTTTAAAATACATCAGCATTTTGACAATGGAAAAGTACTTTATGCCAGTCTTCATATAGTTTTAAATTTATATAAAGCTGTATTTTAAAACTAACTTTCCACCTGGACTACTTTCTCTATGCTGACTTGAAAAGTAAACTTGTATTTGTATATGTTTGAAGAATAAATGGTTTGAGACGTCGATTTCTATTTCTGCTTCCCCAAATCAAGAAAATTATTGGTAATGGGATGCTCATTCTAAATATTTTAGAATTTAAAATCACAACCATTCTGGAGTAATTTAAGAACTCAAGAATCAGAGTTACTTACAAGCTAAGGAGCGGCATTTTACCCAGAAAGTGAAAAGCGCATGGAGCACACTTTGTACAATGCTGCTGCACATATTAAACAGGCCCTTTTAGAATCACAGTTGAAGGAACCTCAAGGGTCATCTGGTCCAACCCCCTGCACAAATGCTACTCCTACAAACAGTTTACATGGTGAAAAAATACAGTTTAAGGTCTAATTTATGTCCACTCACAAAAATGTACTTTAAAAATAAAATATTTGTGCATTTGTGTTGTATTATCTAGAATTATATATTTTGATGGAAAATTAATGGCATGGTGATAAAAAATGCTTCCTACAAAATTTCACAGTAAATATATATTATTATTTACATCAGTAACATTTAAAGGCCTCAAATTAGGTCCTAAAGTAAAGAAACACTTTCAAAGTACTACAGGTTGTTTGGCACATGGGGAAAAAACAGCACAGATCTGAAACAGTGCCTCAATTGGACACATGACACACTGCATCTGTAACAGACCTATGCTACAGAACAGTTCTTTATAAACAGTGACTTCCACTTTTAGATTATTTTATGTATTGTAAATGTTATCTGGAAAAAGCTAACATAAAAATGATTTAAAACGTAGCTGCTTCTAAGCCAGAGGTTCCCAAACTTTTTCTTATTGTGTACCCCCTTCCAGATTTACCAGCTGTCTGCATACCCCTACCGGCAAACATTTTATATTTTAACCCCTTAAATGCCAATTATTATTATAATGAAAATTAAATCCACCATTACACAATTTCTCCCATGTACCCCCACAGAGATGTCTTGTGTACCACTAGGGTTATGCATACCACAGTTTGGGAACCTCTGTTCTAAGCCATCAAATGCAGTAGTAGAAAGTACTCTGAAGACATAAGGCTTTAAATCTTTCCCTTGAGCCTCTCCAGAATCCTTGCCAAGGTGCTGGTTTATTGAAGGTATCAATGTATGCTTCATTCACCAATGTCCAAAACATCAAAAAAGGGTAGGATCCCTTCAGCCTATGAAGAATTCCACTGGACCAGTACATACCATAAAGATTTCAGTGAAAGAAAACAACAGTAAAAAAGGAAAATCTTCTGAAAGGGTGACTTTCATGAGTAGGACCAGTCAGAAAAAATAAGTACATAAATGCACACTAGTTACTGCTCACGCACATAAGACTCCTGAGGCATTTTAATATAAACAGCAAAGAATTGAATCCCATATTACTATTTCCTGAATATATTTATTTGTCAACATAAGCCAATGATCTTTAACAAAATATAGATTTACATACTCCATTACAAAAAAAATTCCATAAACAAAAAATATCACAATAATGTACATCGTCAAGCAGTTACAGTCAATTGTTTGCAGCCCCACCTGCCTCCATGAGTGCTTGCTTGTACATTTCTTAGGGGAAGTGAAACCTGGACATGCAGTCCAGTTACCCCAGAATGGTCAGTGCAGAATACACTGCTTTACTCTGTACCTCAGCACTGCACTGCATTACCAGCTCCAAAACAAGAGTTTATATGAAATCCTCTAAAGACGTTTAGTATCAATTTCTTAATTGTAACTACTTTCTTCCCACAATTAAGAAGCTGATTACGCTGGCAATAATACTTATGATATCGACGATTCCTTTAAGTGTTTAGCAAAATCCAAGGTTCTATGAAGAGAAGGCTGGCTGAGGTGTGCCTGAATCAGTTCCTTCAAATCTTCATGCAGGAAGGAATTGCCTGGTGAAAATTTATCCTGAAATGAATAAAATGGTAAATTGTATAAAGCTCAGTAAAGTCAAAGTGGTGGTTTCTCAAGGTGTCTTTTTACCTTTCCCTCTTGAAATCACTTACAGAGAAAGGACTTGTTTTCTAGACAGAGAAATGTTTCCCTTCTCTGTAAATAAGGGGAGGCTGCCACTCTGACCTCCTGCTGTGAATTCAGACAAAGATCACACCTGCCATTTGAATCTAATCCAATAGTTTTAATAAAGCTTTAAAAAATTACTGGGCTAAGATGTTACATGCAGATACAAGAGAACAAAGGCCCCAAAGGAGATGAGAGAAGTAGTTTGAAATCAGGCAAAGGTAGGAATAAAGGTGAAAGTTGTGTCTTGATTCAGAATCCCCATTCCTGGGCAAAGTCAAGAGACTGAATACAAGTCCACTGTCATAAGGACTGAGGGAAGACAGTCAGAAACAAGTGGACCATGGCATGCTAGAACTGAGATACTGTTAAAGTTTGCTAGAGGAACAAGTATAACCCCCCCCATTAATGTCATAGATGTGATCCACATGAATATATAAAACCACTTCTAAATTCCTGATTTGAAAAGATAGTATGTGCTAGGCATTCTCATTTGATTATTACTCTTCAAAATCCATCTGCCATTCGTGGTGTTATCATCCAGAGTTGCTGTTGACTCTAGGAGGGACAAACAAGCTAGAAACCCTTACAAAAGGACAGAAATAACAGCTACAATTACATTCTCAGTAGAGCCCTATTAACTATGAGGTTAATAGTTGCTATGTTTTCACAAGAGAAAATCAGAATCGAGTATCATTTTTGAGGAGAGGGCATTCACAGGACATTCAGTGGGAGCTGTCAGCTAGGTCATGTCCTACACTGAGGTCTGCTACATAATCCCTTTTTACTTCCCAGTGTTGGGTTGCTTTAATATTTATATATTTTTAACTATAACTTGGCAACGATGGACAACATTTTCTCCTTCTTAAAACTGAACCCAGAGCTCTCAGGCCTTGGCCATCCTGCCACCTCCAACTTTTGGAACAAGAAAGCATTTCTACAAAATAAGGTTTATAATTAAAGAAAATGACAAACTTGCACTGAATCACTGGAAAGTATGAAAAGATCAGAAAAAGGAAATACAAAACACTCTTGGTACTACATGTGTTGGCACTCTGGGAAATGAAACTTTGCTTCTCTCCTTTATCGCCACCATTATCTGATCCCAGTAAAAAGCTAAGAAAGCACACTGGGTATAAAACCAAAACAAACACATTTGCTCATGACTGCAGCACAGGGAGCCCCAAGCTCCACTGTATATTTGTTAAATATATGCATCAGAAAGGATGCTGAGGGACCTTACCTTTTTTCTGGGTGTAACTGAGGCAACAGGAGGATTGAAAGTCATTCCTTTCATACTATAGTTCCCAAAAAGTTCTGTAGCAGACCTATAAACACATGTTTTACACAATTAAGGAAACAGAACAGTATGTGTATTTCCATAACAGTCTCATTTTAAAACTAAATGAACTGACAGTAACGTGCTTGAATATTCCATGTTGCAAAAGAGACATGCCCAACAGTACAGAACAACAATGTGGGAAGTGATATAAATCAGACAGTCAGGAGAGTCAAGATAATGACACAAATTAAGAGCAAGGAAAATGCCCTTAAATTATTATAGTGGATTAAATACCCAGCTGAGTTACATGTAGAAAAATCAGAATCCACAGAGAATGGGTCTGTAGATTCAATGTTCCCAGCGGGCACTGCCTGCTACACAAAGAACTTCTATCCTCTGCATAACCTGGCAACAAGCCCTGGACAAACAGCATTCATCTTTTGCACTTATAAAAGAACCAGTGTGTTTTTGTTCTTCAAAATTCACTTTCTTGAAGTGCATGGAAACTGAATTCCTGGGAAATTACAAAACCAGAATAAGCACTGGTCTGCCAGTCTGTTTTTCAAAAGAACTTATGAGTCTCACCTTCGGCTCAAGTCAGCCTTGAGAGCTGCTGAGCCTTCAGCTGGAGCACCAGCAATAAGATGAGCTGCAAACCTTTGCACAGTTGGGTGGTAGTGTCTCTGAAAGAAAAAGGGTAGCTGGTGAGGGATACAAAGAAATGAACATGTGTACTGTACCGGTCAGGTCAAACTTATACTTGCACTTACAGATTCAACAGAAAACTTTTGGTGTATAAACCCCTTTCCCGTTTCAGCATGAGAGCTGAACCCAAGGGTTAGCTGGTGTTCTAAAAGGTCAACCCCACAGCTCTACCAATCACACAGCTATTGTGTCCCCAACACATGTCACCATAGTTAATCTTACTCTTCTTCCTTGATATTGCTGTAGCCAGGGCTACAGAACAACATTTCTTTCACAGTAAGTATTTTCCATTTAATATAATATTCAGTGTAACATGATATTCACTGTAACGTGATAAAACAGGACAATTTAATGCTGGTACAACTCTTTTGCCTGGCCATTCTCTGAGGGAAACGAGGTCTAACACCCAACTATCATGTTTCTGTTTGCCTCTCACAGAGTAACCCTGGCATGTCACATGCAGCCAACTGCAAAGTTAAAAGGAACGGTCTCAATATGCACTGGCACAGCACTCGTAACTGTGCTGCCAATCAGAACAGTCAAAATGCCCGAGGCCCAGGAAAATTCAGACCCTTGAACTGGCTGATGTCACCAGCACAGAAATCTTGCTGCTGCCTACAAGCCAGAAGCAGCAGCAGCTCAACTCGGTGCTTGGGAACATTGCCTTTGTCAAGAAAGCCACATAAGGAGAGAATGGAGAACTGGAGCATGCAAAGGTGTGTGGAGAAAACACAAGGACCAGAAGGACGGACGGGACAATGAGCAGGAAGCACACAGGGATCTACAAGAAAAAGCAAGTGGGATGTGGACTAAGGAGAGGGATAATATGGGAAGCAGGGCCCAGGGAGGAGGAAATGCTCGGGTGGGTGTGGAAGCAGGGAACCATAATGGGGTGGGAAGCATAGAGACCTAAGGGCAGGAGAGCGGGAAGGGAGAGACAGGGATCCTGATAAGGGGAAGGATGGGAATGAGGCACTGCCATTTAAAGGAGGAAAGGAACAGGACCCTCGCCAGAGAGTGACAGGAGAGGATGCAGAGTCTCAGCATAAGGCAAGGTTACAGGAAAAGTAACAATTCTGCTACTTCATGCAATCCACAGGCCTGAGTAGGTATTCAGACTCCCTATACAGAGCATCAGACACCTCAAAATGGGACCCACCAAAAACACCAGGCTAAAAATGAAGCCCCTCAAGCTGGCCAATAGGAAATGTGGAGAGAGGGAGAGGAAAGGAAGAGCCATGGGGCCCCACCTTTCCCTGTGGTTACCATCTTCACTCCTGAGGATGAGGGAGGTCTGGTTTCAAAGCACTACTCTGTCAGAGGAAACATTAGCCCAGATCTCTTAGTCCTAAACTGAATGCTCTAACCACCAGACTACAGGCTATTTCAAATGCAGCTCTCAATCTCACCTGTTAAAAATCAATCCCCTTTAAAAGGGAGTTTCTCCCCCAATTCACCCTTAATTTAAGTTCCATGAAAACCCTATACTGTAAAGTGAAATAGGAGTCCCCAGCCCTTCTCCTGCATTTTGGGCAGGTCCTGATTCTGGGGGTGTGCTCAGAGAGTGTCCCACCATGTAAAGTCCCATAGGCAAACAAGACATTCCTCCACCTAATTCCTGGATCTCAATCTCTCTTAAGCATGAGATGCCTAGTCCCTCAGCACCATCAGGATACAGACCCAGAGCCACACATGAAGGTACCCAAGGAACTTTCTGGTGGAAACTTAGGAGCAAAGTGACTTCAAGCTTTCCATGCTTAAAGTGGCAGATGAGAAGGGTTTTGATTACATACATGTTGGATTTAGGCGCCTACAACCACTATTAAGGAAGCACATAGGCATTTAAAGGTCCGGATGTGAGTATGTCCTAAATCCCACAGATTGCTAAGAAAAAAGAATCATACCCTAGCTCTGTATTTAAGTAAGTAATGAAACAATTTGCTAGCTCCCCAAATTATACAGCCAACTCACCTTCAGCAAGTGCAATTCCCACAGAGCTGTATTCTGAGCGTTGCAATACTCCGGCTCATCCAGTTCTGGGAGATAAAGTCCACTACCTTGAGATTCATTGTCTAGCAGGAGGTCTGTCTTGGGGAATGTCTGTTAACATCATCACCAGCAAAAGGGGTTACATTCTATACACAAGTTAAATATAAAATATAACACTCACACTATCAGTCTGAGCAGTATTCAAGAAAATATTGGGTAAATCAAAACTGTTTCAGATACTTCAAATCATTTCTTTAATACAATGAAAATTTAAAAATAATAAAAGTATGAGAAGCAAGGATTTTGTGTTATCTTTTGTTGGACCAACTGTATTGCTGGGACAGCTGTTGGACAAGCCTTCAGACATCAAGTGCTCTTCCTCAGGTATATAAAAAAGCTTGTCCAATACCTTCTCATCTACAAAAATGGTTTAATAAAAGATAAAGCATGAATCCTTGCCTCTTATACTCTGCCTGGACCATCACAGCTACAACAACAATCCAAAAGTTTTGCTACCGCAGCAAAAACTTACCTGCATCAACACTCTGTTGGATGCTAAGATGCCCACACTGGAATCTGGAAGGACATGGAGAGCAAGGGTGGAAAGTCGCTTTATGAAGGCCAAGGCTCGTTGCTGGGAAACCTGTTTTCTTCGTTTGGCAAGCATTACATCCAGGCACTGAAGCACTATTATCATATCATCATTTGTTGCACCTTAAAAATAGAATTTTAATGGAACAAATAAAATCCCATTTCCAGGAAAAAATGCTTTGTGAAAGACATTAATTAGATATTAGTGCCTTTGAACACTGTACTAAAGCTTAAATGGTTCGAAACTCAGTAATTAACAACCTGATGAAAACCATTCAGACAGTTTTATAAAATTATGCCTGCTATAGACAGAAACAATACACCTATAACTCCTTTTATACTATCTTTCTAACACTATATTTACTGCAATAAGGAACCTTAAACATTATGAAGGGTGTTTTGGTCCTAATTGCACCAATTACTCTTTCAATTATTTATATAATTTTAAAAATGCATACATACTATACAATTTAGTATCACATACACCCCCCCAATTCAACAGTTCATTTCTGATCTCCTTCTCTGTCAATACAAGTTAATTAAATCTATTTTAGTACTTAAATTCTAAATATCTAAAAGTGCCTATTAAGAATGTAATTATAGAAAACATAAACTGCAAAGGACCAATAATGTGAAATCAGAAAACTAAGAAGAGATCAGTTGCTGATGCAAGGTCACTCACTAGTCCCCAGTGAAATGGCACTGGTTGAAAGTGGTGCTATGCAATACAGTTATAACTATTACTACCTGCATTAAATTAATAAACACTGCACTACCACAGGAGAATGCCTAACCAATTTAAAAAGTGCCACCCATTTTAGAAGCATATAATAAAAAAATCTTAAAATTGATGTACTATATTAAGACTAATGCAAAAAGGCAAAATAAGCATCATATCCATTCAGGTGTTAAAATACGTTACCTGCATGTAGCCTAAACAGCGTCTTGTAAAGATGAGTATAGAACTTCAAAGGATCGATATTAAGAACGTCACCTGTTTAAAATAACCACACGTAAATAGCTTTATTCAAATATATCAACTCAAATAAAAAATAAAGTTTATTTATAAACTTATATTTATTTATAAATTATTTATTTATAAAAAGATCTCACCTTGACCAGAAAGAATATGAAAAGCAGTGAGAATGCAATGAAGGCTCTCCCGATAGCTTAGGTCCTGGAAATACAAAAGAACAGCTGATAGGCACTACATAAAATGTAATTTTATGAAAATATCAAATCAGTGCAGATAGAAAAGGCTTAACTTACACCAGAGGCAATCAGAGAATGCAAAACCATCAACAGGTCATCAAAAAATTCCACATTTATCAGATGAGCAAACCTAGAATCAGAGGAATTTTTATTTATTTATTTTTTTTACTTCTACACAACTTTATCTGCAAAACACTTTTCAAAGTCTCTGGAACCCAACAAAAACTGCATCTTTAAGTTGTACTTTCATCAGCTGCTCTTTTAATGCTTCTCCATCTAACCACAAATTGATAATTCAACCTCAAAATTCATCACAACCTGCCAACTTCAACTGTACTAACTAGAGCAAAGAATGATTTTCAATTTCTTTAGAAGCAGACCAGAATAAATGATGCACAATCACTTTGTGTATCAAACAGTATTTCTTTAAACCCTGCTTTGGCAATGACATTAGATAGAAATACATAAAAAATACAAAAAAAGGATTTTTTACTGTCCTTTATTTCTATTTATCTTACACTAAATGCTCAAACAAAGTATTTTTAAACCGCCTTTTCAGCATCTTATTTTTTTAATATGTAGAAAAACATTAATTTATAGCTCTTACTTTGCAAGACCTTCCAGCACTGCAGGCAAAAGAGGCGATTTCTGTGCTTTCTTCAGTATTCTAAAGTATGTTAAAAACACTATATTCAGGGTCTCTGTGTGCTGTGGATACAAGTATGTAAAATAAAATTAATAAGCATGGGAACCAGGAATTACCAAAATCAAAACTTTCCTTTTAACCAACTCTTCCAAAAAATGTGAATTAGAAGCATAGCTATCCCAAAATTTGACATGAAATAATCAATATGTATTGGCTTAAAGGATAAAGTTGCATATTAGGAAGTCAACAGATGGGGCAGTGTTCCAGAGGAAAAAAATATTGGCAACATTTCCATATTTGGCTAAACAACAAACAACGCTTCTAATTTTAAATCTGACCTACCACGTCACCAGGGACTACTTTAAAAACACAAATAAATGAAAGGAAGTATGTGACAGTGAACAGATCCTAAACTATTGTACACCCTTAAGGGAACTGTGTTTTGAGCCTGCAGTGTCAGGTTCCACGTGTACCAGCACCTTGGGACCAGTATTACACAACTTTTGTGAATGGTGACATAATACCCTTCTGGTCTGGTGTCCAACAGCAGCACTCTTCTAAGAAATGCCAAAGAAAGCCCAAGGACAGATCCTAGTACTCTCACTTTTGTACCTTATTAGAATGCCTTCTCTATAGACTGGTCTGTCATTTTAGTGGCAGGTGTCACTGTCCTCTGCTTGCTCTGCACAAGTGCTGTGATAATTTCAGTCACCTCGGCACAACTACATCTGCTCATTACAAGATGCGACTCCATCCCACCTCTCACCTGGACATGCCATGTTTATTATGCATGAGAAGCTGTGCATCACCAGCCTGTTACTACAGGCTTTACCTAGGGAACCAATGTTCCAAACAAAAGCCACCAAATTAGGCTATAGAGGTCTCATTTTATTTCCTTACATAAATAACTGCAGCAATAAGAAAGGAATTTCTGAAATTCCCTACCAGTTTCAGTTTTTTTTCTTTACTCTCTGAGGCTTCTGCTTCCAGGAGTTCTCGTTCCAGTTTTTCTTCTGCTTTCTTCCACTGAAAATACAGTTATCTTTAAGACATCAAATATTCTTGCAAATTAATTTCCCAAAAGCCTGAAAACCCAGAGTCCAGCGCTCCCTTCTGTATCAGGGTTCTATGGCCCTATGCAAGTTGTAGAGTGGCCTGAAGTTGCTTTAAGGATGGCAGAAGAGTAACTACTTTTCTAAATAACCCCTTCTCCCAAACTACTACATTTGGGGTATTATCTGCAGCACTGGAAAGTAATTAAATAGGGGGAAAAGACAGAATTAGGAAGATCAACTCAATTCTTCATTGTGTACCAGATGCTCACTATACTTGCCAAGGCAAGCAGATTACCAGCATCTAGAAATAATAAAGGTAAACCTTTGCATGCACTAAAGGCAGATGATAAGAAAGCACAAATCATACCTTTCTCTGCATTCTGGAAAGATTTTTCCTTTTGTCTTTACAGGTCATAAATTTTTTCTTTGCAGTAATGTCTTCTGTGTCTTTTTTCATTTCTACTTCCTTAATTCTTAAGTGAAGGAATATTTTTAACACCTAAAATGAGAATAACTAAAATATTTAGTGGCTGGAATCAAACGAGGTCACATGCAGTAAATACAATGATAGAAGCTTAGCAGTTACTTGCCACCAGAAAATAAGAAACAAATATTCATATAATATTCCATGTACTGTAGCTGCTGTGCTACACGGTATTTTATTTTACACTGACTAAACACACATGCACCAAGACAGCTATCTTCAAAGAATGCTGAAGTGGCAAAATCAAGTGAATCAGAGTTGTGCAGTCAAGATTTTTGCCTGCAGAACCACTCCCTTAGCTGTTGCAGGAGTTGGCTGGGAACTGCAGGAAGAGAAAGGAAGGTCTTGGGTTAAAGCCATCAAATGCTGCCCCAGAGAACAGAATCTATCCCTGCATCTGCCACAGTGCTCCTATTCAATGTCAGACAAACTGAATAAGCTAGCTTTTCACAAGTAGTCACCCGCACCTGATTTGAGCCCTTCAGTCAGATCTGCAGTATATCAGACATTCATATCTTCAATGAGTCAATGAGAATTCGACTTTCAGCTATGGTGTTAAATATTCTGAAAAAAATCAGGCACTAGACATCTCAAACTGGGTACTCAAAATCAGTGGATGCTTTTGATGCAAATGTCTTTGTGCCAGAACTTCATCATTCATTAAATCATTTTAAATAAACCCCTCAACTCACAGGCATCTAGATTAGCATTCCTGAAGCTCTAGAAAAAGTAATTCTCTACTCAGAGTAAAGTTTGAATACTGTGCAGTTAATAAAGTATGGGGTATGGTCACACCTGGAACAAGGAGAATAAAATAAAATACTGAACATCTGCTCATTATCTGCACCATACATCACACGTAATGAGTGAAGCAGGGTTCAGTGCGACTGGATAATTAAAGGCTGTATCATGATGCAAATGCCCATAGTGGTTACATTAAGGTTGTATTAATAATCTTAATTCTTGGCTATTTTAGCTTCTGAATGCTTGACTTTGCAACCTATGAATCATCAGCAGGACTAGTACTTCTAGATCAACAACTCAGATTCCTGCCCCTTCAGCTAAAGGATTATAAATTGACAACTTTCTGGACCACTGACGGGACATGAGACGCATACCTTCCCAGTAGGGTTCTCAAATATTTGAGACATGCAAATCCTAGCTTTGACTTCAGCCAGAAGGGGAGCATGACTGTTACCTTCCAAATATGACCTCTTCTTCCTGTGTTCCCTCCAACCTGTCTCATTGCCAACCTAGTCTCTCTTGTCCCCTGGCCTCTGGATACAACTGAGTCTGCACCCTCACCTCCCTACAGTTCCTCAAAACAGTTCTTGACTTTTCTCCTGACTTGTTATCACTTCCAGGCTTCTCAACCTCCACACATTTCCAAAGTCCCTCAATTCAATCTTTTTGTCCAGCCAATCCTAATCTCTCCCATGTTTAGCATCGTACTCAGACCACTCCATCTAGATACTGTCTGGCAATACAAGACTCGATGTGTTCAGTTATATATCACGCTAACAAAAAATCCTTAGTGTATCAGAAAATTTTCATCAAAATGATTTGTGACAGAAAATGTGGTTCCTATAAAGCCTAAGTTTTTGGAAATTCTTGGTAATCTGTTCTCATTTTCTGCTGGGGTAAGGGAGGGAGTTGAAGAGGGATTTTGTTTCAAGTCAGTTTGAAACATATCAGTTTGAAGTGAACTGAACGTTACATTCTGACTCACTATCACATCAAGCTGCTTCTACCTATGGTGCTCTGGTACCCCAGAAAAGTTAAATTTTAAGTGTTTCATATATCTATTCTTTCCTATATGTTGAGATTCCTGTCTGGATTACATTTTAGATGATACACTGAAGTGTCCCCCCCTCTGACTACATCAGGTACCACGTTTTGGGCATGTCTAACACATGCATTAAGGCACTTTTCTTAATGTGCATTAAATTTAATATCTCCAATGTGAGGTACTAAATAAATAGGCATTAGGCTGCCTCAATGCACAGTAAAGAACACACATAGTTTTTAAGTGACACTTAATGTGCAGTAGTCTATTTTACTGCACATTAGTGTAATCACACATTTTTAATGTGATGCTTTAATGAGCAATAAAATAGGCTACCATGCATTAAAGCACATGTGTAGAAATGCCCTATGAGATCACATGAGCATGGTGGATCAAACACAGACAGAAATCCAGAGAGAGAAGACAGCAAAGTTAAGAGGTGCTGTGACATCACAGGAAGACTGTATCTCATGGCAGACTGAAATGATTTCTGAACTGATTTTCTTAGCACTTTTTATTTTGTGAAAATGTTTAATATGTTAACTGCCTGCCCCTATTTAGACAAGTGCTGAATTATCGGAAAGTTAAGAAATATAAAACAGACTTTCCTGCCCCCCCCAACTTGTTTTAAGGAAAGTCAAAAAGCCCTAAGCTTGTTCTAGGCTCAGTGAAGGTAATGAAATATAGAATGGCAAAGGGAAGACGTTACATCATTTTACTTCTTACTTTTTAGCATTTTATGATACTGTCAAAAGAAAAGCACAACAAAATACACTTACCTCAGGTCTAACATCATAATTCCTGCTCTTCACTAGACCAGATATTACTTTAACTACACCCAAGGAAGCAATGCCAAGTTTGTCTTGTTTAAAGAGCTGCTTCACTGCTTCACAACACATTTCTGAAATCTGAAAGTTAACTGAAATGTTTATTCTGAAGAGGCAATATGAAAGAGACCAACCTGTGCCAATAGTTTCTCAGTTACAACTAAATAATCAGAACTCTTGAGGTGATATCTTTTATCAGACCAACTGGATAATTGCAAAAAATTTGCTTTATCTGCAAGCTTTTGGGCGCACACACCCTTCCTATGGCATAGGAGAGTACAAAGATTGGAAAATCAATTACAGCTATGCTTTTTATGTCAAAATTTACAAGATGTGACAACTCAATATTTAAAAAAATGCGAAGACTGTAAAATACTGATAAGGGATATAACAACAATAAGGCAACAATATGGTTGCCTCAAAATGAATTTTCAAAACCAAACATAAAGAATTTCTGTTAAAAACATAAGAAATAATAACTATACTCACCTGCTTTGATGTGTCATTCATGAGGGGTACAACCAAGACAATAATGTTATTGTGGAAGTTGAAATGAGGGAGTGCGACAAGCAGCTCACAGAGGCATTTCACTGCAATCTCTGCCAGACCTTTATACGCTTTTAATGAGATCACGTTACTCTTCTTCAGCTTTCTTTGCTTCCAGTCTATAAAGAATTGTGTTTTCTGTTATTCTGGAAAACTCATGGGAACTACCTTACTTTGAACAATTTTCTGTTTGCCTTCCTGATATTTTGTTCAACAAAATAAATCTTAGTGTACAGATTCCTGTGAAAGAGTCAGATAAAAGATGCAGAGAGCAGTATTCATTCTGAATAGAAACATTTAGGCCTCAATACTGCAAACATCTGAATAACTTCATGCATGCCACTAGCTCTGAGTTCAGTGAGATAATATGGGTGTAACTGTTGGCAGGATCAAGATCTTCCACCTAGAAATGTACATTAAGAAACAAGGACAACTCACACTATACCTTTAATTGTTTGTTCCAGATTTTCCAAGTAAAATTTGTACTGGCTCACAAGACCTTCTTCAAATTCTCTTAGTTTCTGAGTTTCTTTTTTAACCTGCAAATATAATAGATTAGATTTTCTTTAAAACTGTTAAGTACTGCAATTAATTAATATTGCCACACTGAAGTTGAGATGTCTGTTCTTTTGCCAGGGCTTTTCTAGGGATATATTTAAGATAACTTCTGCCTTTACTATTGTGTAAGTTTTGGTATGTAAAAGAAGTGCCCCCTTTTCCCCACCAGATCTATTTCATTAGCAGGGTTTTAAGTGGGATGTGATCAACTTTTTGAAATTAATTTAAAAGCCTCAACTGGTCAAACGGTTATAAACTGTAGCAAGACCATTTCAGGCTGGACATAAGGAAGAATTTCTTTACTGTCCAAGCCCCTAAGGTCTGGAATAGCCTGCCATCGGAGGTGGTTCAAGCACCCACACTGAACACCTTCAACAGCAAATTAGATGTTTATCTTGCTGGGATCCTATGACCCCAGATGACTTCCTGCCCTTTGGGCAGGGGGCTGGACTCGATGATCTTCTGAGGTCCCTTCCAGCCCTAATGTCTGTGAAACTGTGCCATCTCAATTGAAACGTACCTTTTAAAGCAACCTTATATAAGTCCAGGAGAATGAGGTATCCTATAGTTGTTTACTGGTTAATTAAACACACAGGCACAAAGATCTGAGCCAATTCTGGATACTTTAGTAATTATATTCTTTATGATAACTTTCAGTGATTTATAATTCATTCTAGTTCCCTATGTCAAATAGGGAAAGCTGTTTTGTTCCCGTGTTTGCAGTATTGCTAAAAATTACGTATGTATCACACATCCCTTAACCCAAAGCGGTTGTTTAGTGTCCACCTGGTTTAAAAGATGGATGCATAAAACATTTTGGAAATGGTATTAACAAGTCCCCTCAAAGTTTAATATTTTATTTCCCTCAATTTATCATCAGCATCTAACCATATATTTGTACTTTAACAAACTGGACAGATTCTAGAAGTCAGAACCTAAGACTCTCCTTGGCATTAACAATGACTGTTTACATTAGTTCAAAAAACAGACTAAAATTAAGCATCTGTTTTAGCATCAGAAATAAAGTCAAGGAAGTTTTCACAAGACTGCATAAAAAATCCTGAAGCTTAACCTTTGTAGCTTTTTCTGCTTCAGTCAAAGGCCGAATTTTGTAAGAAGGAGTTATATCTTTAAATATCTCCATCAAAGAAACCAAGACCAGCTTCCGAACGATGACAGCCACATTGGGGTCCTGTTCCATCAGCATGACACGCAACTCTTTCAGCTTTTTAATCTGTTCAAGGAAAAATGAGTGAAAGGATCAATTATGAGTTACCTACCAAACAGAAATAAGTTTGTACACTTTTATGCAAATCGGAGGAACAAGAATGCCACCCTATTAGGAAACAAAACCGTTATAGTGCAGTGACACTAACGTAATGGATTAATAAACACTATTAAGTATGAGGAAAGCCAATAAACCCCAAAGAATCCACAATAAAATAGTTCAGTAATGTTATATCTACCAAGTCACTGCAACCTTAAGTAGAACGATAGAAAATTATTTCTGCATACTAAGTAAGAATCTAACCATGAGCCTGCAAGCAAAGCCTAAGGGTTAAGACCCTGTGAACAAAGCAAGTTGACAGAGCCGAAGTATGGGAGTCTCACTCCCAATGTGTAAGACAGACCTAAGGCAGTCATGGAGTTTCCAGCTACTGAAGGGTCTGGACAGAACCAGACAGCTACATGGAACCAGACTGTCTGTACACATGATAAAAGCAAACATTTCCCTCAACTCTGCAATGCACAGGGAAACATGGAGTTTCTGTTGCTTGTGGCTCTTCCACAGGTACATGACAGACTGCAGACTCTGCCACTGCTCAATTACTTCAGAACTTTGTAACTGATTGATTTGCAGTATCATACCCACAGAGTCTAATATTACCTACATTATTTTCTGGGTCAGACAGAATGGCAGATGCTAGACCTGCAATCTGGGTTTTCTTCTCCTGCAGCTTTATTTTCCTTTGAACAAGCAGTTCCTCAGTAGAGAGTAAAGGCTGGGGTTCTTCCCTAGATACTGGAACAAATTAAGAGTTAGTTTTTTTCCTTTGGGTCTCCACACTTTTTCTGCATATTAGCTGTCACTTAACAAGTAGCATGGAGAAATCCAGTTCTATATATTTTGTATACTATATGAAAATATACTACATATAGTAAGTGCAGCTGTATAAAACCCTTTCTGTGGTTTATACCTACTACAATAGGTAGTACTACAATAGGTAGGTTATACCTACTACAAGATTCAATTCACCTCCTCCAACCTGAATTTCATATTTATAAAAAGAAACAGCACATATCTGCTATAAACTTGAAAGTGGTTCCCTCTATTATAGCATGTGACAACATACAAACCCAATGCGTTACAGCCAGTCAAATTACAGGCAGTCCTGTAACTCCATTTCCTTCTGAACAGTACTTCATTTTAATGTCTAACTATTAATAAGGACATTTGATTACCTTCTGCTACCTCCATTTCTTCCATATCCTCTTCCTCCTCTTCATTCTGTGCAATGTTGACAACTGCAAGAACAGAATGTAAATTTGCAACCTGACAATAGGCAAAATAAACAAAACACAACATATTTAGTTGCCCTTTTATTCTGATTCCTGCGACTGTTTCTTACCTGGCTTTTCCATGGTTTGCGGAATAATGCCAGTCTTGTCTTTGATAGGAAGTAGATGAATAAGTTCTTTTTCCGGCTCAGCCTGCATGCGTCTTGGCATTTTCTCATATTTGTCAATCACACTTTCCTGTTTTCGTTTCTTGGCATGAATGGGTTCACTACATGATGCAAGATAGACTCAATCAAGTCATCAACAAATTAAAAGAATTCAACTATAAACAGAAGTCTGCTGTCAAGATTAAACACCCACACCTTAAACTCATGCAATTTTTCATTAACTGGAACTTCTGAGTGAATTTACTCTAAGTCTGTCAGTTGAAGTTACCACTTTAAAATTGACAGTTTTATGAAATGTCATACAAACTCTCCTCATTATAAACAAAATCTATCTCTACAAAGCTCCAACTTTTTTTAAAAAAACTTAGATGCGAAAAACAATAGTTAGCTTAGCATAAGAAGCGAGTTCAGTTATTGTATGATTTCAAAGTTATTCCACTACTCCCCTAGCTGATGTTAAAAATTTGTCTACTCAAGAGTGCATTGATTTAAAGTAGTAAATGGTGTAATTCCCTAGCATGGGAGGCTAGGATCTGGAACCAACTTCCAAGGGAAGTGGTGCTGGCTCCTACCCTGGGGGTCTTTAAAAGGAGGCTTGATGCCTCCCTGGCTGGAATCATTTGACCCCAGTTTTTTTCTCCTGCCCAGGCAGGGGGTCGGACTTGAAGATCTACAAGGTCCCTTCTGAACCTACTTCTATGATTCTATGGGCAGACACATCAATTTAAAAGCATTCATCTGTTTAGCTTTTTTGATAGTACTGTGTCCACATTAAGGGGCTGCAAGATAAACTGCAACCACTGGGTGTAAATAAATCCTAGCAATGGAAGGCAGTGCCCATTAGAACTATGAAAACCACATTAGTAAGACTACCATTAAACAAAATGGTTATGATCTTGGTCCAAATATACAAGAGGCCAGGAAGAGAACAGAGAAAAAAGGCCCCATCTTCATATCCTTAGCATCCACTCTCTGCCAAGGAGAGAGACAGCATACTGTATCCACGGTCTGACCCAGTAAATAGCAGGTCTTATGTTCTTACGTTAAGTTCATAAGCCATTCCACACGGACTGGACCAGTATTAATAACATGTACCACCTTCTTTTACAGCCTACTACAAGTTGGTGTGTACATTTACTGTTGGTTAAGGTTCATTTATACTTGAGCATTTATACTCAGAGCATTTACCCTGTCACCCAAGCAACATCTTCTAGGCCGGATGCTGACGAGGCTGCAGTAGTAGCAATGGCTAATCAGGCAGCAGAGACTATCTAATTAACCGCTGCTGCTGCCACTTGCAGACAGCCCAATCAGTTGTTGCCACCAGACAGCAACAGATGATGGGGCTGTCTTTCAGCTGCTGTCATGGCAGCTATCACTGGGCATTGGGGAAGCTACAGTGCAGTCCCCTTCCAGCTCTTTGCTGCAGAGCACACCTTTGACGGGACAATGTAGCATTCCAGCCAGAGGCTTTGCAAGTGTGCCTACCTGACAGCATTCTATTTTTGTAGCATTACAAAGTGCCACAAAAGCAATGTGTGTCCACAGCCTTGGCACTGAAAAGAACACAAAGGTCCCTCACACAATCATTAACTTACCAAAATATTTAAGAGACAATGGCTGGAAGCCCATGCACATGACCTCTATCATACACAACACCTCTATTATACACAGGAATCAAAAAATTGTTGGATCCTGGGAAATTCCATCTGCTTTGCATGAAGGAGCAGAGATGAAAACTTGGCAGAGATAGTATCTTGCTACAGTATCTATGGCTTAGCCACAGGAGTGCTGGTAAATGTATTCTGATTGCACTTTCTAAGAAGGTAAACACTAAAACTAAAGACACCCAGGCATGCAACTTGAATAAATCTCCTGGGAATTTTTAATTTTACTCCTGCCAATTTACTGCAAAGAATAACAGAGAATAGTTACCTAGAAGACAGGTCTCTTGTTAGAAATGATGCTTTTTGAGCCAAATCTTCCATTAATTTGAGGTCATCTTCATCCATCATATCCAGAGGAAGAGCTTCCTCTTCCTCCTCTTCCTCTACTTTTTCAGCTGCATCAGAACACAATGGATGGAGTTGTAAGATGCTGTACACATATACAAACTTGAAATGGACCATTCTTGTACCCATCATATCTGTTCAGCTCCACACATTAGCCCCAGTCCTGCCAAACACTCACATGGGCTAAACTTTACCTATGTGGTTTGTCTTGCTAACATTAATCAACCATCAAGCACATCCCAGAAGATTACCTTGTGCTTCTACAACTTAATGTATATATGAGAATAGGTTGTTTGCTTATTGCTCAACCCCCAATCTCAAGGATCAATGGGACAATTTTTGCCTGTCCCCTACTCTCATTCTGTCTGGCTTGAATGACCCTATAAGTAAGGATCTCCATAAATCACACCAGAAGTGCCCCCCGCACCCCAGTGGCTCCATTTATGTTTTTCATTTTGCTCCTCTCCACTCCCTCCCTCCCCCCAAACCCTGCTCCGAATTGGTGGAGGGGCCCCACCCGCTGGGCCACTTGCTGCTGATCACTGGGGAAGCGAAAAACGCGGCTTATTTAAAACAGTGGGATCCCTCTTCCAATCAGGGGCAGGGGACGAGATGGAGCACAAACACTGAAATGAAAACATTAAAGAAGCTGCTGCAGGAGGCACTTCCGGTATAATTTATGGAGATCCCTACCTATGAAGTCTTCTGCCAAGAGATATACTGGGGCTCTTGAACACACAAGCTTTCCTAGTCTACTACAGATATAAGCACTCTCAGAATCACAGCAACATTCTTCATGATTCCATGATTAGTATCTAATACAATGGAACCAAATCTGTACCAACATGTTATCATGACACTCTCCAGTATTGTTTGCAGCCACAGAAAATGAAAAAGTCTAAACCGAGGCTCACAGGGACAGCGAAGTGCAATGATATTCACAATACACTACTTGCTCAGTGTTGCTATCCAGAGGCCAGCAAAGGCTAGGCACTGTCTATGCATTTAAAAGGATGCAGTCACCCCTAGCATGCCAAATACATCTGACTTACACAAATGGTCTCACCTGAAAGGGGTCACATTAGGAACTCCTGCCTAACTTGTTCCTGTCTTTTACTTCTCCCACTAAGAAAGTGTGTTGTTTGTTTTTAAAAAGAGATAAAAACTGGTATGGGTATACTGTATATTCTCACATATAACCTGCCCCTGAACAAAACAGGCTGATTTTCCAAAGGTACCATAAAGAAAAAAGACCTTATCTAGGTAAAGTATCATGGTAGCAGCAACTAGGAAGATGAGCCTGCTGCCAGCCCAATACACTGGATGGGGCTCACTGACTGATCCAACATGCTGGGTCCAGGGCTATGTACCAGGTCCAACCCTGTACAGTAGTTCTGGGGCCATGAAGAAGACACAATCCTGCATGGTGGGTCCAACCCCACATGGCAGGTCTAAGGATGCCAAGTCTTGGACCACACACCAACTCCAGAGCCATGTGCTGGGTCTGGCCCTGGAGCCAATGGACAGTCCATATTTGGAATACCAGGTTTGATCTAGCATGCAACCCCAGAGCTAGTGCACTGAGTCTGACCCCAAACACCAGCCCAATCCAGCGCATGGATGAGGAGGGGGGCTCCCCCTAGGTCTGGAAATCTGGTGTATGGGGGTGGGCGAGCAGTGGCAGTATTCATTCCCATTACTCGCAGAGCTGCAGCAATTAATGCTGCCACCTCTTCACTCTCCCCACCAAATTTCTGGACCTATGGGGATCACTTTTCCTCATATGTAATGCACACTGTAATTTTCCTCAGCTGTTTTTTGGGGGGAAAGGTGCAGGGTATATGTGAGAAAATATGGTATTCAGCAAGCTATCACGTGCAAGTTATATCATGAAGAAATCTATGTAAACAGTTTTGGCATGCTTAAGTGATACGTGAGCTTGGTCTAACAACATGTTCATACCCAGCAAGCTGCAAGGTAAATTAGCCTGCAAGTTCCTTGATTCCACAGCTAGACTGTTTTTAGTGTAGAACATTTCGAACATCTAAAGTATTTTGGTTATCTGTACAGTACCTCACAGGCTCCCTAAGAGGGTAGTACAGTTAGAAACCCAGGCTCAATGTAGCCTCTGAAGGTCAGTCTATAGGAATATACAAATCCAGCAGCTAGAAAAAAGAATAGACACAAGAAATGGTCTGGAATAAGAGGCAGGAATGCAAATAGTGTTGGTCTCAAAGATAATACTGCAAATATACCGGCCCAAAGGGTAACAATGACCTGACTCAATGCTGACACTCTTCACAAAGTATAAAAACAAAAAAAATCAGAGAAGTTAGGATTTTTTTAAAAAAGTGCAGAATGCCAATATCTAAGCATGTTAGTTTTAAAGTGGGAAACACAAACTTCACACATTTTCTGCAATCCACCTTACCAAGCAGTATGTGCTACAGGCTCTGACGTAATCAGTAAAGCATAACATCATACATAAAGCATATTACAATGTTTTTGTTATGTACCATGCAAGTAGCCCTTGTCACTGGATTGAAGAGCTGGTTGTGAAAAAATAAAAAAACCAATAACACATGTACATACTCACTAACTTCAGTCCTAGAATAAATAAAGATCTGTATGCTATTGATTTAGCTCTGGTTTCACGATATACAAATTAGGGTGAAGCATGAAAATATTCAGTAACTCTGGTCCCCCATCTATAATGAGTGGATCTAAAGCTTTGGCAAATTCATTACCTGACAAACAGGCCAACAATTACCTGTATGTTTTTTCTTGTGTTCCTCCAACGGAGCAGGTGTTTTGGAGATCACATCTCGGACAGCTTGTCTTAGCTTTCTTTGCTCTTTTCGGTATTTCTTTGCAGTGCTCTGTTGCTTAAACTGTTTGTTCTTTAACTTGTTGTCAAGTTTGATTTTACTAGTTTTCAGCAACTTGCGAAAGCTTGGGACTCGTTTTGTATTTTTTCTCTAGAAACCAAAAGAAAAAGTATCAGTGGACTGAGTCATTCATGTTTCCTCTAATTAAAATGAGTGAGATTTTCCTTTAATACCAAAGATGGAGTTTTTTTAAAAGGACAAGTTAAACGCTGTCATTACTATCAAATAAATTGCAGTTAAGCATGGGTTTCTCCTTAATTTCAAGTTTATCCCATTTTTACTAAATGAACTTACCTGCATTCACCTTCATGGAAGGAAGCTGGACAATAATCTGTCAGAAACTTTTAACAGTTCGAGCTCTCTAACTGCCATATCCAACACAAAAAGTTATTTGGCTTAGAGAGATCTCATACCTCTTCCTATTTTAAGAAAAATTATTGGAAAAGGCCCATGGACTATCTACCCCCCCACCTTTGTCTAAATTTAGACCTGAATACAGAGCCAGGACCTTATTGATATGTATGTGATCTGTTTCTAGTGATGAATCAGGATAAATACCCACATTATTAAAATTAATCATTGACAACCTTTGAAGCCAGCTGACCATCAAATACTGACTGGCTTCTCCGAGCTTTGTGGGGGTGGTAAAGGGAACCCTACAAATGTTTGTTCCTTTCTCCCAGAGACCGAAGCAGATGGTATCAGCCACAGCTGCTTCTTCACATCTGAGGTTGATCTCACCTATTTCCATTTCATCTCATCCTTCTCTATGTGCATGGAAGGCCAGAGCCTAGAAGTGTTACCAATACAACACCTTCTACATTTCTTTTCCATAGCTTCAGACAGCATCTCACGTAGAGACGGCCTGTTTGATATTTCAATTAGTGTTTAATGTCTAATATTTTTAATAATTTTGGCAGTTTAATAGTTATAGCAGTTGTTAAGGTCATGTTAGGGTTCCCTCTGCCCCTGTAATACAGTCTGCTGTAGTTGAACGCACTTGCAAGTGGGGTGCTCTGCTCACCTTAAAGCCCCCGGCCACAGTTTGTTTTCTCAAGCTTCTGGCTCCACCAGATTGAGAAATTTGGTGTTAAACCTCTAAATCTGAACCCGGCCCCTTTACTGCCAGCTGGGACCTGGCAGATGTGTTTCATGAGCATCTGGACTGAAAGCTCTGATTCAGAAACAGGGTGACAGGGCAGCTCCCGCTGTGACAGCTCTACTGCAGGTGCAGCCATGTCCCAGCAGGCAGCACCCCGATGCAGCTGGGGGACTGCCACTGCTGTAGGGAGCAGGCTTTGTGTTTGGCAACCACGGCAGCTACTTTCCTTCATGGGGGGGGGGGGGG